GGGGGTAGCATATATATATATATGTGTGTGTGTGTGTGTGTGTGTGGTCTTAGACTACCTGACGCAAGTCCTATATCTGTGTTGACAGATTATGATCAAAGGGTTCCAGAGATGTCACTCGGGTTTTAGCTGCAAGTTAGCAAAAAGTGCTTCCTCATTGCACTGCATGCTCAAAACCCACGAAACAGTGTTGATACACCTTCAGCAGTTCCAACTCCACAAGTCCCCATCCACAACCCTATCTCGCCTGCCTTAAGGTTGTCCTGAACAGAAGGGCAAAATACTAGAGTAGTTTCCATTTTCTCTTCCATTATCCCTATATTGTCCCAATATACTATAGTAGTTTCCACTTTTCCAGACCCTAAACCCTGAACCCGAAACCCTAAGCCTTAAACAAGTTGCTGTTGTACAGTGGAGGTCGGCCCCAGCTGCCAAGCACTCGACCACGCCCCGGAAGAAACCCGACCGGGCAGCCTGGCGCAACTGTCAAAGTGAGCCTACAGAGTCGGGTTATCATGACAGTTGGCAGCATGATGCTATCCTATATAATGTGGGGCAAGGCATGCGGTGAACTTCAACAGGATCTGGGGCTTGTTAGGTTTGCAACTGTGCTTCAGCATCTTCTTCAGCCTCCAGAAATCGGGTGTGCAGCCTGCGGGTCGCATCGTCAACCACCTGGCAAGGCTTCGCTTCCGGGTTCAAGGTTGAAGGGTTTGGGTGTTGATAGCGGGGGGTCTGTAGGATTCCAGGGCAGATCTTCGTTTTTCAAGCTTTTGATAGAACAGCCATCGGGGGAGTGTCCAGGAAGATTCTGCATGAGCATGCAGCGGGTAGAGGTTTCAAGATGGCATCACTTTGCAAGCACTTTTAAAAAGACTGCAAACACATGGGACATCAGATAGGGTCTACGAAGATTGTGGCAGGCTTTTCGCGAGATGCACCAGAACTTACACAGAGTTTGCACGACTCAAACGACGAGCCATGCTGCCTGAAAGGCATTCGTGCACCAGTCCTGTCAGTCGTTTCCCAAGGTGTGGGGCTCAGGATTTTTGCTCAAGTTGCCCCCACCTTCGCATAGATTCAGCATACAACTTAAACCACGATCCACGCTCTGGAAACCTTGCAAACCTGACCCCTCCTTGAACTTTCTCAAATCTACGTGCCCTGGCTCCTGGGAATCGAGAAGGGGGGTGGTCTTAAAGAAGCGCTGGGGAGTGCTACAAAACATGGAGGAGCATTCTTCTTGCCACCTACCCACCCATTCAAACCTAGAACAAAAACATTGCGTTCGCCTCTTCCTCCATGCCGAAGCCGTCTGCATCGACCCGCGCGCTGCGTGGGGTGAACTCCGCCCTCTGGAGTACCGTTCCTTGCTCATCATGAAAGTAATAGGAGTACCATCCCCACAAACCAACACGAGCCCACATAAGCTGCTTCTAATTTGCAGGCGAATGGTTCTCGCCAGACCCAATCGGAGGTTCATCTTCAACGGACAGAATAACAGCGACTACAGCAAAAGGGAATAACAGCAGCGAACGGTAGCGAATATAGGCAATGGCTGATGACTATAATGCTTGTGATGATGATGGTGATGATGACGATGACAATGAAGACGATGATGACGATGAAGATAGTGATGCTGGGAGCCAAGCCTGAAATCCGACACAAATAGCCTGATCGCCTTGCCAAACCCCTGCAACCCTATGAACCCCAAGCTTTAAACCCATAAGCATCGACCAGACCCTTATTCCAGGCCCTGCAAACTGTCGTGTTGCAGAAGTCTGAATGCGTAGACCAGGTTTTCAGCTTTGTGATGTATTGAGACCATCTTCCTCATTTGCCAGTCATGTTTTTCACCTCGAGCACAAAGACATGTAGATAAGGCTCGCATGGCCTCCAATGCCGTTTTCCGGGTGCTCGGGGTGAGCTCCCCGTCCTCACCGATGCCATCCTGGCTTTGATTGCTTGAGCTCTGTGAGTTCCGCTGTTCCTGTGGCGGCTGTTTTCTGTTGCACTACTCGTGAGCTTTGAACTCCTCCTTAAGCCGTTAAGTAAGTGCGGATACTCTTTGGAGCGTCCATCGGTGCAGTGTCGTTGCGACTTGGCCCTGCCCCCACAGAACCTGCAACTGAGACCTACAGTAAAACCTCAGAAGGACAGTGGCATCCTAAGTTGCGGCAATGCCTCCAGCCCAGACTGCCAGATTCTTGGCACAAAAACTTCTACAGTCCCCCTTATCTTGAACCCTGAACCCTAAATCCTACACCTCAAATCTTAAACCCCAAACCCTAAACAGTAGTTTCCATTTTATTTTCCAGTCTCCAAGTATAACCCCTATATAAACCTCATATTAACCCAATGGGTACCCTAAACCCTAAGCTACCTGAACCCCAAACCCAGCGTCGGAGGAGCGCTGTAGCGAGCCGGCAAGTTCTGAGGCTTCGGAGTTGGCGAAGTCCAGCGTCTTCTCCACGTCCGAGGACTTCCCACCAATCCTTCTTAGGGGCTACGGTGGGGGCCCTTCAGACCCTTTAAAGGGGTTGTGGGGATATATAAGGTTTTCAGCAACTACTCCTAGCTCACGGTGGCAACAGTGGTAGCAATAGTAACAATAGTAGCGAAAAAGGAATTGTAACGCGAACAGTTGCCAAGAATTCCTTTGGCAAATTCTAAAATGCTTACAATGTCGTAGTGTTGGGGAAAGTATATGGGGTTGAGCCGTTCAGACTAACTTGTGATGGTTACGCAACCTCGCGGGATGTCTGCCCATGCCGCGGAGACTTCTGGCTTGGGATTCACTCCTATAAAGCCCAACTCTCCATCTCATGTTCCATGTTCTTTCCCGTTTGGTTGGCCACCATTCAAACCCCCACGTTGACAAAGGCGCGTGCAAGTGTTGAGAGAAGGCGACGCTGCATACAGCCTGGAGATGTCTCCCCAAACCAAGAACCTTCCGAACCATGCTCTGAACCTCAGAACTCTTCATGAGTACTTAATTCACACAGACCCCCAGAAGGGGCGCCATAATTTGCCCCCCATCTCTTTGGCGAGACTCTTGGGGGCCTGAACCCCTATGGCCCTTTGGCCCTCTCCGAAATCAAAAACCAGAAAGCCTAAAGCCAAAGCCCTGAACCCGAAACCCTAAACCCTAAGCCAGCTGAGATTCTTCTTGCCGAAGCGGGCCAGTCGATGCGTCTCTGGCACCACGAAGGTGGTGCAGCTCGAACACATGCCAGTGAGCC